CTTTTGTTTTTTTTATTTCCAAATTAGTCAAATCAAAGTACATATAAAATGTTTAACACGCTGTATCTCTTTAATAAGCATATTGGTTTTTTTTGTGAAAAACTAAGGTTACACTTTTTACACCTATTTATGACACCCTGTATATTTTTCCAAGATAAAGGCTCACAGTAGCATATAGTTAGCAAACAGTAATCTTTATTGCAATTTTATCAAAACTTTTTATCACATTTCACTTTTTTTTATGAACAAATTAAAGGCAATATCTAACTGTTATCTTTGTAAACAATAAAATATAAAACTTGATAACTTACAAGGTGTATTAGACTTTACGTGTCCTATCTTAATGAGATCCTTATGTGACCAGCTGTGGTAACTAGTGAATTTTGCAAAGGAATTTGCTAGATCCTGAGGACTTTTACTGTCATAAAATTTCCGGATCGTTTTATTTACTGTCGGTGGCAATTTTTTATTAACTTTTAAGACAGAAACGTATTTGATAAAATTGAAAAACTCCTTATCGGATTTGCATATTTTTAAGACGATAGCGGAAACTTCTGGTTTAACATTTTCCGTCACTTCCTCAGATTTCAAAACGCATGCTAGAAGGAAATATAGCGTGGCCCTATAAGGTACGAGTTTATCGTCATTGGCCGATAATATAATTTTGAGCAACTCATTTGGGGAATTTTTTATTAATTCGTCCAAAAGATCTTTCTTTGATTTTGTAAACGATAGGAACTTGTCTGGTCCGCCACTAACATATTTAGCGTCCGTGTTATTCACATATATCAAACGTCTTAGCTTCTCCTCGTTGGTTAACTTGGAAGCAGCCATTTCTAAAAATGTATGAAAGAAAATATTATTTTTTTACAGCTATTAACACATCTTATAAATTTAAGATCGTAAATGTATCCTAAATATTTTTTATTTATAAGTAAAATGATGCATATTCTTAGGATTTCAAATTTTCTTATAAAATATGATATTCTGTCAAAATCATATGCATGAACCATCATANCTTTATATGAAAGATCCTATCTTTTTTTCGATGAGGAATCACCCCCTTAAATGTTTTACACTTATTTAGTTACACCCTGTATTCTGACGAATTAATTATTTGCGTACATAAAAATTTGCGTTTCATCGTTTTTTTTTAATGCATAAACGGCTTACTTACGTGCAAAATGGAACCCTCGAACAATTTTTGTACAGATTATTATCTGCAGAAAAAACGAACGGTGTTAGACACACCAGTAACAGTAGTAGTAACCTAAAATAAAAATGTACTTCTTTTAATAAGCATTTGCAAATATTTTTTAATCCTAAAATTTTTGTTCTATTATATCATATAGACAAATTTTAATTTATTGAAAAAATATAGTTTCTTTTTTATCTCCTTTGTACTTTGTATTTCTACATTCTTCATGAAACTATTTGCACGAGTCGAGTATTTTGTAATATAAAAAGGAGATTTCCTTGAGCCAAGAACTGATAATTCTTATTTTTTCTTACATCTAATTATTCAAAATTGCTGTAAGTATATCCACTTAATAACTTTGATAATTGATTATTGGTCCTACTACAATAGGTGTATTTATCATTTAATGAAATTGTCTAAATAATATATTTTTTTAAATAAGATACAAGCCAAAATATAATTAAATATTAAAAAAAACAGAACATAGGTCTATTAAAAATAGGTTGTAAAATTATTTAATTAAGAAAAGAAAATAACTAATATAAATAATTATAACATTATAGCAAAAAATTTAAAAAAGTCCCACTTACCTTTGCATTGCCCAATAGATCTGATCATACAATTTGTATATCGAATATTTGAAACAGACACTTAGATTTTTTATCTGCCATGATAAAGGATCAGAGATTTTGTCAAAATAGTGTTATTTGTTGAATATAACGTGCATGGCAACAAACAATGGAATATTTTAAGAGGATCAATATACGGAAAATTTATGAAGACAATTTAGCAAGTGACACAATTAAGTAAATCCAAATACGTACTTGTTTGTTCGAAAAAGAAAAAAAAATCACCACAGTTTTGCTTGTATTATTTTATTATGCATGCATGTATAACAATAAATTGTATAATTATGAATACTATTTAATTTAACTACAGCGAATTTTTGTTTTTATATTTCGATATGCTGAATTTGAAAATTGGCAAATAAGTTTTTCATAAAGACAATATCCCTTTTGAACGAGGAGTAATAAAAATGGGGAAACCCAGCACTATCGATTTATAAAAACAGTGAAAACCCAAAATATAGAAAATTTATTATAAAAAAAAATAATTTAATAAAATAAAAAAATTGTTACAGCCTTCAGTAATTCACAGAATTTGAAAATATATTTCGCTTTCAACACTATGGTCAAAATATAACAACATTTTTGAGGAAGGTAATGACCAACGGTCGCCAGTAGTCCATCACTTTCCCATTTTCGGTTTTGGAGTAACAATGATTGAAGTAATGCAGAGCTGAACTACCACTCAAAATAATTTATTGCCTTTGCTATGTATTCTATAGAACAGTTTATTAACACATTAATTTTTATCTATTATTTTCAGCTTTGACAATAAAGAAAAAGGACCGCAAAGCCTTTAAGGAAAAAAAATTGCTCAGAGGTAAGTTCCACATTTATAGGTACCAGTTTTGGGGCATCAATTGGAAGATTAGAAAAGTAGGTAGGTGTCATGGGTCCAATTTTGGAGAAAAGTTGAATGATAAAAACCGCATTTCGATATTTTTGTAAGGAATAGGTACAGGGTGTTGTTAATTTTTAGTCGTTTTCCTGTAATGTCAAATAACCTTTTTATTTGTTAAAATTTCTTATTTTTGTTCGGCTTTTTGCTTACATTTAGTGGCATACACAATATTTTCCTATAACTTTTGCCTTTTATTATTTTTTTTTTATATAATAACAATATTTCGACGTCTAAAATTTAACTATAATTTATGCAAAACAAAATCAATAATCAATTGCAATTCGGCTGTTTCCTATGTAAATGTGTCAAGGAGTACCTGAACATGGCACACTGGATTGGGTCATAAAATAGTTGAATTTTGATATCCTTACAGTGAATTTTTTTTTATATTATTTGATAGGAAATTTTGTAGATTTCATAAATTGTAAAATTTCTGTTTTTTTTAAAAAAAAATAAAAGTTATAACCGAAAAAACGTTATTTGAGCGACCTGTACCACATAAATGAATCTATCTAAATCTAAAAAACCTATCTATCTAAATCTAAATCTAAAGATGCAGTTTTGCCTTTCAATTTTTTTCATTTTTCTCAAAAATAGAGCCTGTGACATCTTTATTTTTTTTCTAAATTTTTGAAAAATATGTTGAATGAAGTCTTGAATTTGGTCCACCCTATATATTAAAATGGTGAATGAGTCAATAAAAATTTATTTTTAAATAGACCCGAAGAACACGCATATTTGAAAACTATAATTTTTTCAATACTGCAATTCCTAAAAACACTACAATTTAATTAGTAACAAAATTTTAAAAAATTACAATTTTATTATTAAAGATCAATCGTGCAAGAGAAAGTGTACATTGTTGGTGGAGGAATTACCTATTTTTTAACATAAAAAAACATAAATAAAATGTATAAAAAAATAAGATACTAAAACAATGAAAATATGAATTTTTAAAATCTATATAAAATTTACGTTTTTTAATTTGATATAATCTTTGTAGAAATAATATTATGTTATTTTCAGAAATTGGCACCTGAAAAAATGTTGGCTTTCAAATATGTGTCTTTGGGTCTATTTATTAAAAATTAGATGATCTTCTTTTGTTTTTTCACTTACTGTGTGAACTGGTTTGTATATTAGGGATGGATCCACTGATGGACATTGGGGGGAGGGGGCGTTTATATAGTTCATTGAAAAAAAAAAAAGTTATTTATGTAATCATCACGAAAACTGAGACATTTAAAAAAAATCCAGAAAAGACATTTAAAAAAATTCTTATCTTTATTAATTTATTCTGTTTGATATTTTATTTTTTTTTGGACCATTGGATTCACACCTGAAACCGGCAAGAGAGCATTTTTTATAATTTCACGTTTCTCCAAGAAAATATCGTCTTGGATTTTTGTTTTAACTGGTACAAACAAGCAAAAAAAAAATTGCGATGCATATAAAGCTAGGCAGAAACTATTTTGAGCGGTACGGGGCAGACCTACCTCCCTTTAATTAAAAATTAATAACAATTTGCTTAATTGCAGATACCAGTAAACAATCAGAAAACAACTCAATCGGTATCATCACAGAAAAATTATAAACTTGATAAGTCGGACTATTACGAGTGAAGTGCTACTCTTAGTGTGCCCACTGCAAACTAAATTAAAGACTATTAAAAAGCCGCGTTATTCGTCAAGTTATTTCCTGATCATTCCGTTTTTAACTACTAAGATCTATTAGAAACTATTAAGAGTAGAACAGCCGCTTCGAATTGTTTTCGATTAAAAAGTCCAAATCAGAAACGGCCCTTTTAAAACAGACTTTCCAACTCTTCAAGGCACTTGAGAATAAAAATTGTATTTATTTATGTATTATCACAAAACAGCTGCTTTTTTATTATTTTACTGACGAAATAAAAACTTATTTTTGCTAATACCACTTAAAATTAGAGGAAATGCAACGACGAATACCTAAAAGAGTTACGGAAAATTACTGTTTTAGATTGAGATGTAGTTTGTTAAGTAAAATAATTATATTTCTCGAAGAGACAAAAATTTGTTAGTATTATTTGCAGAAAAAAAATTGTTTTAAAAATTGTAGCGCAAATTTAAAAATTCGTAATACAAAAAAAATCATATCAATTATATGAAACAAGAAATAAAAAATGTAAACATTTTCTGTTGAGTCTAGGATTTAATTTTTTTCTTAATAGAACAAGAAAAAGAAACCAATTAAAATATAAAGATTAAACTTAATTACTATAGAAAAAAGTTATTAGTTATACCAAAACAATACATTAGCCAATTAAGATAATGAGATTTTCCTTGTAACAAGCAATTATGCCTAATTTAATTACTATATGCTACTTAAAAAGTACTATCATTTCGGTATATTGATTTAGTCTTTTTGCTTTTATACAAATTTTAAATTACTTGAAAAAAAAACGAATAAAGTTATTCGAAAGTACGGTCCTCAGATCAAAAAAAGTCATATAAAAAGAAATCACATTGCCTATTTCAAGTGTGTTTTTAAATACTATCGTAGCAGGCTTAATTCTATACTATTCTTAAAGATAAATCGAAAGAATGACCCACGTTTCGTCCATATAAAAAATTCGACTATTTTGAAACACCTCGGTATGAATATTTTTCTACGGCGGAGTTCCTCGTAACAAAAATATTTTATAAATTTTATCAATGAACACTTTGATTTCGGATGGGTGTAACATCTCAGTTTGCAGAACGTTTGGTTGCGGTTCAGGAGAAATTACCTCGGCAGAAGGCTTCCAGGGCTTTAGAAACTCCAAAGTCTAGTCCCGCTACGTCCAGGACGTTGGCGGAACCGTCGGCGAAATTCAAGTGCGGTGAGGACATGCAACAGGTAACCAACCTGAAAATAATTATGTTTTCACAAAAACGTGTCTTTCGAAATACATCAGTTTTGCATAGATTTTGCACAGAAACATGTTTAATGTATTTTTTGTTTCAATTAATACTTTCTAATTAAACATTAATGAAGTCCAAATACTGGAAAATAAATGAATTTCTACCCCGTAAGTAATGTAAAACTATATGATGTAATTTTTCATGGGGGGAGGGGGTCCAGCATTATAAGGGTGATCAAATAAAGCTGAATTATTATTCATTTTTTAAATTGATAATAAGTTTTGTATAAAACGTAGGTATATGTTACTATTTCTTTAAAGCACTGTGTTTAGTTTGCGAATTTCAGTGCCAACGACCTCTAACATCGACATAGTTTTGGGTAAATTACATAATATCTAGATGGGTGGGTAATTTCAAAACTTCCTGTCTGAAGCATTAGTTTTACTGAATTTGTATAGTGCAGTGTTCTTTTTTGTTAAATTTAACTTTAGGTACATTAAAATTTAAAGCATTACTAGAAAGGTAGGCAAATCCGCTAACGCGGACTTGACCTTTTTCTCTTGGCCTTCGGCCCTCGAGTCACGCTGCGCGCGGCTCGAGCACCACTCCGCGGTGCATTCTCTGTGGGTTAGTAAATAATATACAGCGTCGGAAAGTACCGATGGTCGATTTGCCGTTACGTGAGAGCGATAAAGTAAGTCGTAGAAATCCGTGTGATAGAGAAAGATGGCTACAATGATGGCGTCTAATAGTCACCGCCCATTTCGCCCTTCCACAAATAAGAAGTGGATCTTTAAATTTCTAAAAGTCAAAAGTAACCCCATTCAAACTTACACATTCAAACATATTTTAAAATAAAATTGTGCAGCATTTAAGATATTTAAAAATAGTGACGATTTTGTTTCACAAAAGTCTCAGAACTGGAGAAAAAATCTGCATACTGGCAACATGGTGAAGTTGTGCACGGGCATAAGCGTATAGGTAATAGATTTCTGGATGTGTGCATATACTACGATGATGATTTCAATTAACGACAGTAATTGAAAAAGCATGTTTAAAATATAATTACGATAATTTTGCGTTTATCCTGGTTGTATAATGAAAATCATCCGTTTTCTAGATGTAAATAAATAAAGTAAGACTAATAAAAATGTTCACAGCTGTTCACTTAATTCATTCATCAAATCAGAAAAAATGACTTACTTTGCGTTTTGAAGGTTGAACTTCTTCCTATACTTCTGCAAAGCCTCCGCGGGTTTGGCGAGCTTCTCCTTAACATCCTTAGGAACTGACGCGTAATATTCGTTATGATGTATAAAATTGATAAATATGTCAATGTGTTTCTTCTGTGACATGGCCCACTCTATGGGTGCCGCAGGAATTAAATAATCGCTCTTATTTTCCTTTAATTTCTGAACATGTTCATAAAACTGCCCCTCTGAAAAATAAATATTATAAAAACACCATTGTCTGAAGAACGATTCCATTCGTAGAAGCCTTAAAACCGACAACAGGGAATCAATGTAAGTGTAGACTTAGGGGTTCACCCCCCAGAGAACCTAGCCCGAGAATAACAAGGGCTGTAACTGACAGCAACCGTGGTACTTTAAATAACAGCATTAGCTACAAAAAATTCTACTCACTTTTATCCAGATGAATCACGGAGACCTCTTTCTGTTTGTAAACGGCCACCGTGACATCCTTTTCCACTTTGAGTAACGTCATCGTAAATGCCGCCGCCGCTTCCAATGAGGTGATGTTCTTATTGCGCAGACACGGGCTGTCCATTTTATCAGTGACGTCGATGGTAACCATGTACCTCTTACCAGAGGGTTGGATATTGCTGCAGGATATGTTCATGCACTTTTGCAGGTTGTTTATGATGATGGGACTCCTTGCTTCGTTCGGCGTCTTGATGCGTTTAAGCTCTTCCTCGGTCAATTTTTTCTCGGTAACCAAGTGATCTAATAGCTTTGGATCAAGAGGCCTGGAAATAACGGCTGTAATAAAAAAAAGTTTGTTGGCGTTTTAAGGTTTTGCTTACTTTCCACCTTTTTCGAAGTTTTTCATGTGAATGAAGACTTCTACGGGGTGGATACCGCTAACCTTGACTTTTTCCACGTTCGTCAAGGTCTCATTGATCAGAGCTTGGGTGGGGGTATCTTTTTTAAGGAATCCTAGCTTGTAAAGTTTAGGCAGAGTCTGCAAAACTTCCGAGAGGGACATGTTCGGCAAGACTGCATTCCAAACCTGCAATTCAACACGATTTTGTATTAAATAGGAAACTTCTTTTTAATATACTTATTACTTCAGCAGATTTCCGTAGACTGGGCTCAACCTGATTGATGGTCGCCTTCAATTCTGCAATAATCGGGACCGCAACTTTATGATCTTTAGTTTTTCTTAAAGTCTCAGACTTTTTCAAAACGTCTACTATATTTTTCGCTTCGCTGTCGCCGTCTTTGTCGTTAGTTTTTTTAAAAAGTATGTAATTTATTACCACATTTTTTACTAAAAAGAGAAATAGCAATAGCAATTATTTAACAGTTGGTAAAAATTTTTGATCAAATACAGGGTCACAATTAAGTGTAAAAAATTTAACTGAAGCATGTGATCAAAATAAAACTACTAAATTGCTTCCTAAAATAGTTAGGGTCTTTAAAATAATTTTTTTTTTAAGTAATTTCATCGATTTTTAAAGATATTTGAATGTTTGGTATAAGAGCATTTTTGTGGTGCAAAGTTATCAGATTATTTGGCAGTATCTAATCTAATTAAATTTCACCCTTTTGCTATCAATTTTGATCAATTTATCTCTACTAGAAAGTCAATGCCTACCGACATACAGTATGACATGTTATTTTAGTCACTATATTTATTTGTCAGTGATGAGACAAAATACCGAAAATATTTAAACTTATATTTTTTTGCTTGATTTACTAATATCAACTAATATTAGTATCTGCATAAGCATATATTGTAAAATTAATTTGTTTTAAAATTATTTTTTCCGTTTTATAAAATTTACATAATGAATAAATACAAATACTCGCTAACCTGATTTTGAAACATATTTTAAATTATTTTTAAAAAAATATTAATTATTTTTTCAAGGCACTGCGTTTAGTTTATGAATCTGTGTCAGTAACCTCTGACATTAACCTAGTATAACAACAGCAGGGTATGAAAATTGCATAAAAAGGTTTAAAAAAAAATTAATTTACTTGATAGAATTTGGGAAAAGAAACTTGTGTGTTTCTAAAGGTCAAAGGTATCCTCTATAGAAAAAGCTATGGTTACACTTTTTATACCTAATTATGACACCCTGCCTATTTTTCCAAGATTAAGGCTCACAGTAGCATATAGTTAACAAACAGTCATCTTTATTGCAATTTTATCAATACTTTTTATCATATTTCACTTTTTTTATGAACAAATTGCAGCCAATATCTAACTCTGTTATTTTTCTAAACATTAATTAAATATAAAACTTGATAACTTACAAGGTGTATTAGACTTTACGTGTCCTATCTTAATGAGATCCTTATGTGACCAGCTGTGGTAACTAGTGAATTTTGCAAAGGAATTTGCTAGATCCTGAGGACTTTTACTGTCATAAAATTTCCGGATCGTTTTATTTACTGTCGGTGGCAATTTTTTATTAACTTTTAAGACAGAAACGTATTTGATAAAATTGAAAAACTCCTTATCGGATTTGCATATTTTTAAGACGATAGCGGAAACTTCTGGTTTAACATTTTCCGTCACTTCCTCAGATTTCAAAACGCATGCTAGAAGGAAATATAGCGTGGCCCTATAAGGTACGAGTTTATCGTCATTGGCCGATAATATAATTTTGAGCAACTCATTTGGGGAATTTTTTATTAATTCGTCCAAAAGATCTTTCTTTGATTTTGTAAACGATAGGAACTTGTCTGGTCCGCCACTAACATATTTAGCGTCCGTGTTATTCACATATATCAAACGTCTTAGCTTCTCCTCGTTGGTTAACTTGGAAGCAGCCATTTCTAAAAATGTATGAAAGAAAATATTATTTTTTTACAGCTATTAACACATCTTATAAATTTAAGATCGTAAATGTATCCTAAATATTTTTTATTTATAAGTAAAATGATGCATATTCTTAGGATTTCAAATTTTCTTATAAAATATGATATTCTGTCAAAATCATATGCATGAACCATCATAAAAATAACTGTTCACACTAAAATAAATATGATGCATTTTATTCTAAAATCTAAGTGTGAGCAATCCTTGAATGTTTAAAAATAATAACCCAGTTGTTTACATTAGTGGCACAAGCCAAGCAAGCAAATTACGACATCCACATGTTCTGTAATATAAACAGGAATTTGTAGATAGCATTTTATCCAAAATAAATAAATTTCTAAATATTTTTTTCCTATTCCTATTCTCGATGTACTTTGAACGCAAACACATAGTATATATCATTTTATTTGTTAACATAAGCTGTAACATTTCTAATATGATTCATTACCCAACAATTGCTTAAAGTTTAAAACAAAAATCCTTAAATAGATATTGGTGATACCGTTACCAAAAACGAAAGTGATGTCAGCTTTCCACACGTTAAAAATGAAGAAAACAAGGTGAAGACTACGCACGATTTCAATTAGCGATCGCCATTATGAAATAAATAAATATTAAATAATTATTTACCTTTCGATTAGTTCACTACGATGAATTAAAATTGTTGAATGGTTTTGAGAATGAGAATAAAAGAATGAATATAAAGATGAATAAAGACAGCTGTCACTTGTCAAGAGCCAATCAAGCAAGTAATCATGTCAACCAACCTACAGGAAATAATTTAAGTTACAAGTTCCCCTGGTTTATTTTTATTTTAGTTTCGTTTTTTATGGGTCATAAAGGTCAATCAATTAAAAAGTATTTTATGTTTAAAAATTAAGAAGTAAAACAAACGGTAATTAAAAGATATTAATTACACATAATTTACTTCTATTTTTAAGGTCACAAATGTCAATGTTGGCGATATGAGTGTTAATTGTCAAATTAAAGATAAACAGAAAGTGCTTCAAAATATCCTATTTTATAAAAAATAAAAACAATAAAATGTGATTAGAAAATTGCGACTGATTTTCGTTGATGTTTTGCATTGGTGATTGAATTATCTTAATAAACAATTTCGAAAGAACAGTATAATGTTGAAGAAATAAATCACCATATGGGTTAAGATTATTGAATAAAAATGTTTTCTGCTATCAAAAGGTTGGCAAGCAAAGGGGATGGCTCTCCAAACAACTCTATGGGGAGGCCACCCAGTCACCAAGCCATGTCTTCCTCGTTGCAACGCAAATTTGCACGAGGGGTACAATATAACAGTAAGACTTGTCATTTTAAAAATAAGTTATGGTTTAACTTCTATATATTAATTTTCAGTGAAAATTGTAATAAAAGGAGATCGAAACGTAGGAAAAACTTGCCTCTTTCATCGACTACAAGGGAAAAAGTTTGTCGAAGAGTACATACCGACAGAGGAAATTCAGGTTACCTCCATACAGTGGAATTATAAAGCCACAGATGATGTTGTAAAAGTGGAAGTGTGGGATGTTGTAGATCGTGGCAAGAAGAAAAAACATTTTGATGGCTTGAAGCTGGAAAACTCTCAATTGGAGGTACCAGACGAACATGCATTAGATGCAGAGTTCTTGGATGTTTATAAAGGGACGAATGGAGTTATAATTATGTTGGATTTGACCAAAACTTGGACTTTCGATTATGTGCAAAGGGAACTGCCTAAAATACCTGGCCACATTCCAGTTATTATTTTGTCTAATCATTGCGATATGTCCCATCACAGGACTGTTACTGCCGATCACGTTAATTTCTACATTGATTCGATTGCAGGGTATGTCGTATGTTTAATCAATTTATGCATTTGTGTATATTTTAAAATATTTCAGTACTCGGACTGCCCAGGTTCGCCATTCAGAATCATCCATGCGAAACGGCTTTGGTTTGAAATTGCTACACAAGTTTTTCAACCTACCTTTCCTACAACTGCAAAGAGAAACCCTGCTGCGTCAACTTGAGCGAAATGAGGTCGAGACGAACGCTACAATCCAAGAACTTGACATGTTCTGCGATTCAGACGAGGCCAATTACGGTAAATTCCTCGATAATTTAGTGAAGAAACGTAGGGAAATTGCCGATTCAAACGCAAACATTCCTCCAAAACTACCGGTTATTCCTCCCAATGCCCCTCCCAGCGATATGAAGAGGTCTCAAAGCGGTCCGATTGTTATCGGTGCCGGTAAACCCATTCCTTTTGGAAACTTGGCTCAAGGCAAGGTACCTTCGCTTACACCTCACGTGTCAAAGAGTTCTAGCATGAGTTCTGGGTTCGTGTCCAAATTGGGAGTGGATACGCGAGTGAGCGATGGTATACCCGATTTGAGGAGGCTGGAGATAAGTCCAATTACCTCTGTCGAGGAGTTTTGTCCAGAAGGAGGACAACTTACCGGGTTTCTTGATGACGTACAGTTTAATATGCAAAGTAATATTAAAGAGGAGGAAGAACAGAGCGAATCGTAAGTATAATTATATTTATTTATATGAAATTCTGATCCAACTTTTAAAATTAAACTTTTTGTATATTACTTCGCGATTATATAGGGTGTAACTTTGAAATGAGGTCGTATTTATACGGAAGCTATAAGGAACTTATTAATTATTAACTTTATATGAAAAACATATTTTTCCGTTTTCAGGGACACTGATACGGGAAATCCTCTGGTGTCCGAGCTGCAGGAAGATTGTGAACCGGACGAAATCTCCTTTTCCAAGCCTGTGAAGTTTGCTAAAAAACCAGAATCGAACCTAAACGCTCCCTTGAGAATCGTCAGATCGGATGAGAGCAGCGAACTGGAAATTGAAAAGACCGTACCCGAAGACTACGACATGAAACAGACAAACGATGAGTTCGATTCTACCATCAATTCAGAAATATCCGAGCTGACGTCTGACGCCTACGACGCCTGGATAGGAGCCGATACCAAGTGGAGACGGTCCCCAGAAGGTGTGATTGGTGTTTGAGAGAGAATTTTTTTTATTTAATTCTTTTCGTTGCAGGTGGTGAAGATAATTCGGTCGTTAGCCAGACTCTAGATTACAGTAACAGCACGGCTAATGACGACAGCACTAGCGTGACGTCTTCAAACGTTCACATGGAGTTGCTCATGTCCAAGCAAAGCTCCAATAACGGGAGTGTGGTAAGCGACAGCGACGGTACACACACTTCGAGCTCTGTGAAGAAGGAGAAGAAGAAGAAGGATAAAGACAAGGTAAGAGCCACATTTTTTATTTGAAATTCGAATGTCCCCTTTAATCTTTTATGTAGATTATGATTATGTAAGATTATACAATATTATAAAGAGATCAACATCTAATAATTTATAATTTTCAATATTTTTTATCGTTTTCATAGTGTCGATAGCTTTAGAATAGTTGAAAATTATTGCTACAATCATCCACTTTGACAAATTCTATTGTATACAGAGTAAAAATAACAGTAACCATATATACAAAATACACCACAACACTATCCAAAAGTGAAAACCATGTTCAAAATACAAACATTTTAGTGCACGAAACTTTAAACATTGCAATGAGACAATTAACATTGAGGTTAGGTAAACATACATTGCCTACTTTAATTCTATCACTACAAGTAGGCAGTGCTGTACTGGAACTACTACAGCTTAACCTTGAATTTATGAACTTGTATTTATTTAAATATTTTTCAAATACCGAAAAATTTTGGGAAAAAACCTATAGTCTTATTTTTTCTTATATTAAAACAATATGTGCCACATGTCCATTTTAATTTTTCTGTTTATCCACAATTTCTAGATTAAAAAGTAATAAAAGAAATTGTCAAAGACAAAAAACTTACTATAGTTTCAAAATGTCAAAAATGTGGTTTCAAAAGTCTTAAATTTTTAAACTTGAATTGCCAAGGACTCAGAAATTCTGTGAAAAAGGAACAGTAGGTTTATTTTTTCCTATCAATTAAGTAAATAATAAATTGTGTTGGACACTCATTCTAACTTTTATATTTTTCCCACCTTTTCTAAATTAAAGTGAAATTAAAAAACGATAAAGAACAAAAATGTTCAATGTGACAGTTGCTTTAGAGGTTAGATGAACATGCAATGCCTATTTTATAGTCCTATCACTACATGTAGATAATGGTGTATTAGAACTACTAGAACTTTTTAACGTCTTCTATCTCATTAACTGTTGCAACCAAGGCAAGTGAGGACAAAAATCTTATATTTTTTGCTTGAATTTATTTAAATACTTTCCAAAAAACTTTAAAATTTTGGTAATTAAAACTGGATTCTTATTCTTTCACGTAGTATTGAATAAGTAAAAACAAATTATGTGGGACACCCATCTATTCATATTTTCTGTTTCTACAAGTTCTAGATTAAAATGAAATTAAAGAAAAAATCGTCAAAGGACAAAAAACTTGCTGACATGACAGTTAACATAGAGGTTAGGTGAACATGCATTGCCTACTTTAGCCCTGTCACTATAAGTACAATTCCAAAAAAATCTAGGTTTATTTTTTGCAGTACTGAAATAATTAAATAAAAAAGTATATAGAACACTCCTGATTTAATTTTTGTTTGTTTTCCACAATTTTCAGATTAAAAAGAAATAAAAAAATTAACATGACAAAAACATTTTTCAATATGACATTTAACATAGAGGTTAGGTGAATATGCATTGTCTACTTTAGTCTTGTCATTACAAGGAGGAAATGCTGGATTAGAATAGAATTTTTTGATGTCTTCCATTCTATTGATTCCTGCAATTAGGGCTAATAGTAACAAATGCCTTAAATTTAAAAACTTGTTTAAATATTTTCCAGCCACCTAAAAATAAAAAAAAAATAGAGAAAACTATTTAGTATATTTAGTACTATTGAAAGTAAATAAATTTATTATTACAATGTGGGACATACTCATTCTAATTTCTGGATGTTTCTTCACAATGCCCAGACTGAGAAGAAATCAAAGAAAAAATCGTCGAAGGACAAAGACCGCCACAAGGACTCCAGCAAGAGTGAGAGGAAGCACAAGCGGAGGTCCAGGGAAGAGACCTCCTCTCACAGAGATGAGCTGGAGGAGTTCCTCAACGGCCCAACAAGCTCACCTATAGACGCGGCGTACGAGGCCATCTAGCACATGCCCGTCATAATCAAATACAAATACGTCTTGAATCTATAACGGTCTCGCCTTGCCTTCCACGTTTTAAGCTTCTAAAATGTATCCTGTGGAAAAAAGTTAACAAGCTGTCGCTGTTCGTGAGGTACCTTTTTGTATGTGTATATTGGAAATATTTTATATAAGGGGCTCGTGACGGGTGGAATTTAGGAATTGATTTTTTAACGTATTATTATTATAACGTTGAAAGAAAGTGATGGGACTAAAAAATTCCTAAATTTTATTTACCCTTCGACAGTTCTGGACTATTGGGTCTAATTCTGTTTCACATTATTTCGAATCGGTAAGATCTAATTGCATTTTTTAATATCTCGTTTTTAAACGGGGTGTTCATTTTTTGAACCACACAATGGTGATCTCAGTTTAATAACAAATAACATGTCAAGGAGAAATCTGATCCATCTTTTTTTTAAATTTTGAAGTTATGGCCTTGATGCCTATCGGAATTGGAGAAACAACATTCATATTTCATTTGTCTTAAGGGGTCTTTTTGGATTTTAGCATTTTCGAATTCCCATCGTTTTTCTGATTATGATGATATGTCGTATAACATATCATTACATTTACATTATCCATTTTTTAAAGAGTGCTTTGGAAAAACAAAAGAAATTTTGAGAGTTCGGGTAAACTTCCATAGACGTCGAAGTTTAAGGAATTAAAAATGTTTCTACTAGAAGAACTGTGAGATATTCTTTAAACTTATTTATTAACTAATTTGAACTATATCTAATTTATGCCGAAATTTATCATGGAGTTATACTCGGTTGTTTTGTTTTCAAAGCACTCTTTGTAAAAATGGATAATATGGTATTCTGATGAAAATAAAAAGGTCCTTTCTCTGTCCTGATAATTGACCGCTAACACAACTTCATATTTGAATTTTCTATGCAAAATTGTAATAATTCAACTTTGCCCAATGCCCTATTTCTTATGATAACGGAGATCAACATAATGTGGCTCAAAAAACACTAAATACATAAAAAAACAGTTTGGAATAAAATGACCATTTAATCGTTATTGTCCACGCTTTTGTTAAAAATTTGGTGCTTCTTGCATTTATTTCCTGACCAGTGACCAGAAAATAAAGGGTGTCTTAAATTTTAATCAGGAACATTTTATTAGGAATATAGAGAAACGTTTGTATGAACTTATATGTTTTAAAGCTTCGTTTTGGAAATACAGGGTGTTCAAGTTAATAAAAACACTACTTTTTCTAATATCTCAAAAACTACACTGTCAATTTTGATGAAATTTGGCATGTTTTTAGTAATTACTAAAGGGCTTTTTTGTCTATCGCATTTTTTTGTGAATCTTGCCTATTTTTAGAGAAAATATAATTTGTTTATTCCCTGCCTCCTCCTGGAAACATAAATATAATTTCTTAATAAAACGAAATAAAATTGTTTTTCTAATAAACCTTGCAACTTTTTAAAATTTCCATAATCCGTGATTATTTATTTTTTCTCAAAAACTGAGCAAGATAGACAAAACCTATAAGAGACAAAAAAATTGTATTTTTATTGACAGTCTATCAAACTCAAAAATTATAAATAAAAAAAAAGCAGTGGCATGCTCAAATTTTTCATTAAAATAAATCTACATCAAATTACTAAAAACGTACCAAGTTTTATTAAAATCGGCCAAGTAGTTTTTGATATATCCGAAAAAAAGAGTTTCTGTATTAATTTTAACACTCTGTAAATGAAGCTTTAAATCGTAGTTCATATGAACTTTTTTTTATTTTTGCGAGTTCTCACTTATCAAATTTTCCCAATTAACTTGACACACCCTGTACATTAATTATTGTTAATAAATATCAGTAATTGCATTTTCGATGTAATATTGTATGTGGCTTAAGCAGGCCGTAAACTTTAAAGTATTTGCTAAAAGCGCGCAGAGTAAATTTTTGTATACTTGACTCCAGTGATTAAAAAAAATATCGAAATAATTACATTTTTATAATCGGGATTATATTTAATGTGTAAATCCCCCTAATAACTTTAATGTTAACGTGATGTACCGAAACACTTTATTATCTCTGAACTTTACAAATGAAGACATAATCACTAGTTAAGGCCGGAGATTACTGGGAAACCTATAAATGAAGAGTTTGACTACTGCTGGTTTTTACTAATTCTTTTTTTTTTCAGTAATTTTTGGTCTTACCTGCTCTTATACTTAAAACTGATAATAGTTTCTTAAACCAAAGAGTCAGTTTATTCTAAAGTGGTAGTGTTCAATGGTGGTTTAGACCAGCGCTTCTCAAACTTTTTTTTCACATAAACATAATCGAACAGTACAGAAAGTTATTTTTTTGTTACAAATATTTCTATTTTTATTGATTTGCGTATCATCAGCTGTAATTCCAGAGACCTTAAAAACTTTGTAACATTAGATTGAGAACTGCTGGTCCAAACTGATTTTTGTTTAAAACGCCATAATTTATTTGTGGTGTTTAAGTCTCGCTTACCTAAATGTAAAAACTATAGGACTGTTATAGACAGTTCTGATATTTCGTCAATATGTGTGGCTGGAAATTGTTCTATTTACATAGAATTAAAAAAAAATGTCGATCCCTGACCTTATCCTCCTCTTTACAGATTTAATCGATATCAGTGAACAAACAAATCACTATTTAATGTTTTAAAACTGCTTTAATATAGGTTTTAATTATTTATGTTAGACTTTTTTATATATTATAAATGTTGTTGCATAATAAAAAGATTACTAAAAAAAAAATTAAAAGTTACTCATTAATTTTATTTGAAGCCTTGTCCGATTTTTTTCAGACATTTTTTCAAATTTATTGATGCCATTCTTGCAGAGTTTATTTCGATGCAACACATTTAAAAAAAAATTTTGCAGGTAATTGAATTCCAGTTGAAGATCGGCAAAAATTTAAAAAATGCAGATTCTTTGACATTTTAACAAATTTGTAGATGTCAGATTTGTAAAAATATTTCTGTCTTATTGAAGACAAACTAATAGAAAAAACGTGAAGTAACATAAAGGTAAAACATTATTGAATACTATACAGGATGTAAGTTTGAATAGGGGTCACATTTTTATGAAGGCTACCTTTGACCTTTAGAAATGCTTACCATAAGTTTGTTTTCTCAAGATTTATCATGAAAACAGAATTTGTTTTTAACCTTTTTTCGTAATTTTTATACCTCGCTATTGGACATGTGTAACATTAACTGTTTGTGCTGGCAGCGAAAGCATATCCAACTGGGAGTTATGGCATGTACTTTTTGTCAAATCTTATCTTTCTTCATTTGTCTGCAAGGTTTTTAATAATATCACAGAAATTTAACAAAGAAGACACACAAACACACCATACCATCATGAACTCTGAAGTAAACTAAACACAGTGCTTTGAAAAAAATGGAATCGAATACTTATTAAAAACTTATGCAGCATACAGAAGCAATCTGTTTTTAGAAAATTGTTTTCTATGGCAAATTTGCTCTATCGTTAGCTTTATGTAGGTGGCTTAAAGAAGCAATGACAACACTGACAAGCGTGCACATTAGGGCGGCCAAAAAAAAAACGAATGTTTTTTTTCGTTTCTCTTGTGAAAATATATTAGTTTATCATATTTTAAGAGCCCCCTCAAAAAATCAGCTGAAAAAAATTTTTTTAGAGGTCGCACAAGATTTTTAAGTTTCCAAAATCGTCAAAAATTGATTTTTTTTCTCGTTATTTTATCATTTTCTAGGTTGAAAAAAATCTCGATTCTAAAAATTTCAAATCGATATTTGAGTTTCTAAAGGTCGCTCATAATTATTTTAACTTTCAAAGTAGTGTACTTATGTTTTCGTGCGACCTCTAAAAATAAATATCAAGGAACTAATAATTTTTTTTTATTGAATTTGATGAACAAAATAATAGAAATCAATCACGAGACACTTAAATTTTAAAAAATTAAAAAATAAATGTTTGATTTATATTCTTTTCTTCATCAAATTCAATAAAAAAAATTATGAGTTTGTTGTTATTTATTTTTAGAGGTCGCTCGAAAACATTTTAGATACACTACTTCTACATTGTTACTAACCAATTAAATGTGTATTGAAAAAACCTTGAACAGTGAATTTAATGAATGCATATCTTACCTCTTCAAAACATCAGTCATTTTTTTATTTACCAATGAGAAGCTATTTCAATAAGTTAACATGTTTAGTCTATTGATTAAGAAATAGATTATATCTTAAGTTTTTTATAGCTTGTTGAAATAAAAAGTTCAAATGAAAAAATAACATTGTTGTGGAAGCATCATGATCAGGTAAGTGAAATGTTAATTCGAATTTCATGATTTTTCTGAGTTTTTTGCTTTCAGGTTTCTGATATTATTGGCCTTTTGTGCATCCGCCTATGGCGCGGATCATAATTTATTTAAAAACTGTACAAGAATTCCGTTTTGTGCGTAAGTGAATTTTAGTTTTCTCCAGCAATTCGTGTTTAGTTTTTCCATTTTTTTTTTTCAGCAAATTGAGGGATCAAACCGTAGATGCAGCTTCCCAATTTGCACTCGATATGATGAATTTTAAAAAAGTGGGAGAGGTGGCATACTTTTCTCTAATTAATGAGAAAAATGAGGCGTTGCAGTTGCAAATTTCATTATTGAAAGGAAACCAGGTGAGGATAAAGATAGCAGAAGTAAACCACTCGAGACATGAACTTGTAGACGCTTTAGATGGGGAGCCAGATATCATATCGTAAGTAGCAGACTGTAAGATTGTGTCTATATTAAAAATAGATATAAAATTTTGTGTAGTGTATTACAATAAGAGGATTTGATGATTGATTGGCTCTAACATTTTTTTTTGCAGATATTGACAGATGTATTATTGAACTGAAAATATGATATATGATTTCTGTTTAGGAAATTGTACTATTTATCATTGTTGTTACTTTTGCCTGATAGATGGTGCGGAATTTTTAGTTTCCTTTCAAAAAGGTACCCTTTATTAATTTTAATATATTTGAACTATTTGCTTTATTTATCTTCAGCAGGTACAAAAATCTTTAAAAATAGCTTAAGTGTTCAAGAGGAGCTACATGCAAGATTGTACAACACCTCATTTTGACTGTTTAGTACATCAGTACTCATCAAACTTTTATTGATAGGTCAAAGCGGTCCTGTTTCATGGACACCTAGGTCACCCCACCTAAGTCCATTAGAGTTTTTTCTGCAAGGACATTCAAAAGAACTCTTTTATTCAACTTAAATCCTAGAAAAGAACTTTTGCTGAAAATAACGGAATTGTAATCAGATTTGTAATATATTTTATATGTACCGAGAATACATTTTACGGAGAGTTGATTTTGAACACATGACGAAATGACGTACATTTTCTCATTTTTTATTATTATGTAAATGTTTATTTTTAATCTATAACTTGTTTGTCGGCCACAACCAACCTTTTCAAAGGTTTTTTGGACCTGATAAAATTAAATTAACTAAATATGTGAAACGATTTGTAAAAAAATAGAACTATTTGTTGCTGCACATTTTGAAAACCTATTTATCTCGAAAACCATTTATTTCATTGAAATAAATGAAGAGTACCTTTTTAAACAAAAATCATCAAAATATTTTCTGTTCGATAGCATGAGTTGTCAAAATAAAAAAAAAAATTGTTGGAGCCAGTCAATTACCGGAGACTTTGTGATAGTAAAAGTCATTTGATAAGGACGAATGATGTTTATTTATGGTATGCAGTATTATTGATGAATTTCTTGTGAAACTGAAAATTTGTGAGACACTAAAAAGTCATTTGATGATTAACGTTATGTCATATATGCATCTGAAACGCATTTTGGATGTGGAAAACTGGGAAAACAGAAGGCATTGCTTCATTCTTTTGATACGTAAGAGGTGACTTTCATATTGGTTCCTCAATGATATAAAAAAAAAAATTACACAAATTTTCTAATGGTGCCAAAAGCAAAATATCACTAAACTTGTCAACAAATTATTACAACTGAAATTGTATAAATACTGTAAATTCATACCAATGACGGCTGGTGCGGGGAGCTCTGGGTCGCCGCCCCCACTGGAAATTTTCATAGTAAAAAAATTTAATTTAAAATTTAGTTTACAATGTCATCCACATAATTAAATAGATTAGTCTTATAAAACAAAAGGAATTGTTAAATTTGTATAATGTGCAGTCAGTTTAAATCTACTTGCAAAATTCGTTTGCAAAACTCTAGTGATGAGACTACTAGAATGAAAATTATCAATTATATCGATTATGAAAATCTCTCGAGTCTCGAGTGACCATATAGATTCATTCGATTATTCGGAGACGAATGACAGTGGCCACAGCGTTACTAACGTCAGTCGTCATTCGTCACTGAATAACGCAAACGCGCTACTGGAGCGAGAGCGCAGGTGTTTCGATTGTTCCAACTCTGAAACGTGCTACAAAACCTCGAGATAAGACGGGCCGAGAGGATGGATGAGACAATCGAATATCACCGACATACAATAAAAAAGATATGCAGGAATTTTATGAGTGGCATCGCGCGGTTTTGAAGGGCGGTTTAGAAGAGAGCTTTATTTGGCGAGGATAGAAATTTATATGAATGAAAATAATACAAAAATTATGTTTTCTATATATTTTTTTTTTCAAAAAAATCCCAAACAATGGACCTCTTTAGGCGGCGACTACTCATTTTAAATACGTGCTGCTGAACCACTCAACTGGCAACGAAGAAATGCCGCAATCCACGACAGTCATTCATTTACCTAGCGTCAACATGTTTCGCATATGATTTGGGATAGGTCGGAAATTTTGGAAGTGAACTTTCGATTATATGTATATCATTCGAATGGTCATTCGATTATAAAATTAATTCGAACGGTAACCTCTCGATTATTTAATTCATTCGAGCGACCCAGGTCTCTGGTAGCCACGTCCCCGAGCCTGCCTTAGGTCACCCATCCAAGTTCCAGCCTGCGTCCGTGACGCTTACCTCGGCCGATCGAAATCCATCGGCCAAGACACCCAGCTAGGTATTCGAACCTGATATCTCCGTTAGAAGGAATATTAGGAAAAAACTTTCCTTTAATGCTCCCAAGAGATTAGTACTCACTTTATGGACTAAATTTGCTCATTTATCCAAAAAATGTATTTTTTTTTGATTTACATTTTGATGTGATTATTTATTTTTAGCATCGACAATATGATTGTAATGGAGGATTCCATATCGATGACTAATAGTCCGTCCACCATTAATGTAACAGTACAAAAAGGCCCCCCATTTGCAGTGGTCCTTTATTATGGTGAAGGCTTACAATTGATGCTAAATGGAAATCGTCTAGTAATGGAAAATGTAAGTGAGAGTTAGTGAAATTTAGTTCTTGTTTCTATATTTATAATTAGACAATCAATCAAACTTAGAAACACTAGATGACGCTTCTCACAAATGATCAGCTTTTATTATACTGTAAAAAAGGGTGACAAAATCTTTGGGAGTACCAATCAGAGTTCTCATCTCTTAAATTTAACAAATCAACTAAAAATGCATGAGTTCAAAAACATTTTTTAGAGCGATGACAGCAAAGCCTTTGCCTTTGAAGTGAATTTTGTGGGTGCTAGTAAGTTGTATGGATTGTACCATCACGCTTACAAACTAGCTTTGGGAAAAACAGCCGATGGTTCTTCAGACCCCTTTCGTTTAAGAAATTCTGACACTGCTGGTTATGAAGTTGGTTCAACGATGGCATTGTACGGCTCCATACCAGCAATTTACGGACACTCGTGAGTTTTTAGAATACATCCGTGGAATTGGAATAATGTTCAATTTTTTTAGGTCTAACAAAACAGTTGGGATATTTTTGAATAATGCTGCCGAGCAATGGGTAGATATTGATTATGAAGGTGACGAATTGACGAATGGTAGCGCTTATTTCATGGTTGAAAGCGGGACATTGGATTTGTTTTTGCTGCCGGGCCCAACGCCTAAGGATGTTGTCAGGCAATATACTAATTTAACGGGAGTCGCGCATTTGCCACAGGTAGAAAAAAATATATAATTCGTTTTATTTCCGTGAAATTTCTTTCTAAAATATACGGAACACACTTAAATTACTAGAAAGAGCAAATAATTGTGACACTTTTTTAATTCCTAGCTGTGGACGCTGGGATACCACCAGTGCCGATGGTCTTACATGACTCAAGAAGACGTGAAGGACGTGGTGGCCAACATGGTCACAAACGATTTTCCCATGGATGCTATTTGGCTCGATATCGACTATACTGAGGGAAAAAGGTATTTCACTTGGAACCCTGACAATTTCAGTGACCCTATTGAAATGCAGAAGAACATATCTTACAGTGGCAAGAAACTCGTAACGATTTTGGATCCACATATAAAAGTTGACGAGGATTATCCCGTGTACGTTGGTGCTAAAGATTATTTTGTAAAATGGGCCAATGGAACAAACTTTCAAGGTAAATTATAATTGTGTTTTGTAATATTTTTTTTGAAATGTATTATTTTTAGGCGATTGTTGGCCCGGGCTGTCAAGTTACTTAGATTTTTTAAATCCCGAGGCGAGAGACTACTACGCCAGCTGGTATTCTTACGAGAAATTTCAGGGAACTACAGAAACGTTAGCAGGAATTTGGAACGATATGAACGAACCGTCGGTGTTTGACGATTCTCTAGAAAAGACTTTGCCGTTTGAAACAATTCATTACGGTAACATTCTGCACAGAGATGTCCACAATATCTATGGTTTAATGCAAGTAAGAAGTTTATTTTAATGATTCTTGTATCAAGTTAAACAAATTGAAACTATATAAAATAAGAATTTGTCCAGCTGTGAAATATGGTGATTGTCAACACGGTTTTATGGAAAGTCATGAATTTTAAGGCTTTTGACCTCAGGGGTCTATTCTTGGGCCCCTATTATTTTTGGTATTTATCGATGACCTCGCAAAAATTTTTAAAACTAATAATTAATTATCAATTATTTTGTCCTGTAAATGGATTTTTTTCTTTTTGATAAATATGTTGGCCTATAGCACCTATTTTATATCAGCAAATTCAACTGCTTTTGCCACTATTATTATTATTATTAATCAATAAAATTAATTTGTGGTTTTAAATAGTAAAATAATTTGACATACCTGATGTTACAACAACTGTTCATAATCAACATGTAAACACATTTGGGTCTGTCTTACTCAGTTTCTACGAACTAACACAAATGTTGTCTTGCTTCACCATAACAAAAATGTTTCACCATAATACAGATACTGTCTTGTTTCACCATAAATTAAAACGATATCCATCAACTCAGAGTTGCTATACAGGCAAGCCATTTTTGACACTAACCACTAAAAAACTATTGTAAACACTATCGCAACGACAATTGTAAAATCAGAATTCAGTATTTGGAGTCCCTGAGGCCACGTGGCTCTCCACGCATATTGCGAATGATGTTAGAGACTACAGTTGTCCAGCTATATAATGGTTGAAAGTACTACAACTTCAATAATTACTTTAATTAATAATTAATAACTAATAATTAATTATCAACTATTCTGTCTTGTAAATGGATTTTTTTTTTGGGCAAATGTGTTGGTCTAAAAATTAATTAGAAAAATATTCAAAAAAGTTCTTTACTTGGAGAAATTCCTGAAAATAACCAACATTTTTTTAGACAAAGGCAACTCATCAAGGCCTTATGCAGAGAGACAACGGTACAAAGCGTCCGTTTGTTTTGACACGTTCCCATTTTGCCGGTTCCCAAAGGTACGCCGCCATGTGGACGGGCGATAATACCGCAGGCTGGGACTACCTGGCTATATCCTATGCCGAGTGTCTGATATCCAACATTTTGGGAATGGTGTTTTGTGGAGCGGATATAGGTGGATTTGCGGGAAATCCTGAGCCAGAGCTACTTCAGAGGTGGTACCAGGTAAAAAATTGTAATGATTTTATAAAAACTTGTGTTTTATTTTTTTTTTATTTTAGGCAGGTGCTTGGTTCCCGTTTTATCGAGGCCACGCCGAGAACATCTCTCCTAGACGTGAACCATATTTGTACTCTAAAGACGTACAGGAGGTTATCCGAAATGCCATCAAGCTGCGGTATAAGCACATACCCGTCTGGTATACACTTTTCTACGAACACACCCGGTATGGAGATCCCGTTATTAGGCCACTTTTCTATCATTATTCGGAACTTCTGGAACTTGAAACACATCTGCTGTTGGGTATGCTACACTTATCACCATTGTTTTTTTTATAATTATTATTATTTAGGGAGTGATATACTGGTCAGACCTGTGGTCGAAGCTGGTGTGACGTCAGTGGCGGTGAATTTTCCAGGTACCGATGAGATATGGTATAGGGTGGATGACGAGTCATGGTCGGTACATACTGGTAACACGGTAGAAAATGTCATTGTTACTATCAAAGATGTGAGTAAAATAATATATTTTTATACAAGTTGGTTGGTTGGTTATTGCGGCAAATTGCAAGTTTCACTATTGTTCACTTTGTTATTATTTGAGAAAGAAAATATTCGAATACAAGTTGAAAGGGACCAAAGAAAACCACATCCTAACATTATTTTCAAATTTACAGAATGAAATACAGGATAAAATTTCAAAAGGTTGTTTTTGTTTAATGGCACATCTTGTATAGTCTTTTCGAAGTCAGTTGAACATGTAAAAAAACGCCTGGCAATAAAATTTAATGGCTTTCATAGGCGTCCTGAAAAAGTTTTCTGCTAAAGATAAAAAATTATAATAATTTGTATATGTGTAGAAAATTTCTATTATATGTTTTGGCCAACAACATATTTTATTATATATGGTAAATTTCATTTTGTTCTGTTTCAAAAGGTCTTCAAAATGCCATGTTGTAATAATATTATTTCTTCCTTTCGTAACCGTAATATCAATGATTAATAGAAGCGTATAATAAATTAAAATTACCAGAATCACACCAAATTCCGCATTGCCGCACTGCACTGCTGGGCAATTTGACAACCACTTGTCAACAGCTGAGATTTATTGCCCAGTGGCCCAATGTAGCTGTGTTTGTATTTCTTTTGCCCGCGCTCACATTCTTCAACTGGGCGTATACATTTCTACCACCTTCGCGTTTAGTTCAGACCTATATATGGGTGTGGTTAAATAAATATGGGAACAAGTTTTTCAAATATTTCAATGCCGAGTTGCACATGAACCGAAATTGGTTGTATGTGCGTGTTTATAACTAGACGAAACTAACTCATTAAAGCACTGTATTTAGTTTGTGATTCTCGGAGTATCAGTGACCTTCGACATTGACTTAGTTTAGTTGAGTGATATCAGTAGTAGTATGTTTGAGGGTAATAGCAATTCACATTATTAATGACAATTAATTTGATTTTTTATGTTCATTTTTTTGGAAAATCACTTTGGGGATTTGTTAATTAAAAAACTGGCTATATTTATCAATTTACAACGCAAAATGTCATTTTATACATATTTAAAATTTTAAATCATTAAATTTCTACATTTTTGTCAAGATATCTGCAAAAAATATTTAATGTGTATTTTGTCATTTCTTGATTTTCAGTCACCAGTGTATTACAAAGGAGGGAGCATAATTGTGAGAAAAGACACAGAAAAACTGTCCACGAGAGAAATGCGAGATGATCCTTATACACTTTATGTCAATGTGGACTTGGTGAGCACTAGTTGGTTAATCGGTCAATATTTTCCGTAAAAATTGTTTTGCATACAAATAAATATTTATGCACTGTAGTCTACTTTTAGCTAACGAGCAAAAATGCAGGTTTTAGCTGATTTGCATATTAACTTTTTCTGTCAAATTTTTTAGAACAACAGTGCCGAGGGTCGAATCTATCTAGACGATTATACCAGTTTCGATTATTTGAATAACAACCAATATCTGTATATGAATATGGTCTATATCCCCGCAACACGTGGATTGCGTTTTGAGTAAGTAATTCTCGCGGGCATATTTTGAAATGATTAATTTAATCCTCTTTAGGGTGATCGATGGAGATGCCGAAGGATTGTCGCCCGTTATTCAACGAATTGTAATTTCTGAACCGACGGAGAACGGTGAGTAAATCGTAAATGTAACCGTATTATGTATTAATTTCAAGTAATATCGGTTTTAGGTGTCAGGAAAACTGTATATACAACCACTTCCAATGGGACTGCTCTTGGCGATATTGATTTCGTGAAGCAAATGAGAACACTTGAAGGTCGAGACTTAATTTTAAGGCTGTAAAAGATAAACCCTGGAATTGTTGGAACGGAGTAGTTCTAATGAACAGTAGGCGTTACTTTTTAAAAATTAGAAAATGCAATTACAACTTAATTTTTCTTGTCAAAATGTGAAATATTTTCTTATAATATCTTAATAAAATTTGTTTTATCAAGATTGAGGTGAAGTATTTTAAAAATATTACGGAAAATGTGCTGATATTTGGGTAAGTAATTTTACAATTTACTTATGTATGATATAATTATGTATTTCTGTGGATGTTCGCATTGTTTTCTTTTTCTTGATTTAAATTGCCGCATGTTGCGCGATTTCGACCTCTGTCGCCCTCGTTCCCCAGGCCAAGAGTGGGGAGAAAGACGTGAAGAGAGGGAAGAAGAGTCAACCGAGAGAGTCGACCATTAGTGATTTTTCAGTCACGTGAATCGTTATTGTGATTTTTTGATATCAGTGATTAAAAAGCGTTACTTTTGAGTCACAAGCCAGCATACGGTTGATAGTTAATATATTATTATGGTGATATACGAAAGTCGACTTTACAGCATCGACATGGTCAATAAGGCGCTTGGGACATGCGACACATGATATTTTTAATGGCGTTCAACAAAATTCGCCCTTAAAGCAGTATATTTAGTCTGCTAAATAAGAAAACAGGAGTAAACACGTTTTTATTTGCAATTGAGGAACGATCACGACCTGTGATTTTTTGATATCAGTGATTAAATCACAGTTCGTGAAATATCGCCCATCACTATCGACAATAAGACATTGTGTGAATACCGTCTCGAGTTGTACATTTTGTGGATATCGTCTCGAGCTTTACGGTGTGTGCCGTACCTCTTCCAGTAGATGCTGCAGGCGAGCGATTAGACTACTGAACAGCCAGGTAAGGGCAACAGAGTTCGCCGCAAACATTTTGTTTTTACATTCATTTGTTTCTTTTTTCTCGCATATTCAGTGGATGACTTTTGTTGAATTTGGAAGCAGAGAGATTTATGCTAAATTCCTAGACAGTCACATATTTTTTTTAAAAAAAGATACATTTTCAATGAATAACAGAAATTGGGAGCTAACTTTTGAATTTAATGAAAATAACATTCTGAAATGTTTTTTTTTTTTGTTATTTTTGCACCCCACCACTGAACATGTATAATATCAATACAAGTTTTTTCATGATATCTCAGAAATTTAACAATAAAGACACACAAACACACCTTACTGTTTTAAAATTTAAAACACCTTTACTTAAAGTTACACTCTGTAGAAGTTCAATTGAAATAAATAATGAGCCAATTAAATGTCTATAAAAAACTTTGAACAGTAATAAATGCATATCTTACCACTTCAAAACTTTACAAAACACGTCAAAATTTTTGACTAATGACGAGCTGTTTCTCCGAAATGTTTGTTTAAGACTCTTGATTATTGATTAAAAAATTATCTCAGTTTTTAACAGCTTGTCGAGATAAATAGTTGCAATGTAAAAACAGCATTGCTGTGGAAGTATCATGATCAGGTAAGACAAGTTTTACTGCGAATTTCTTGATTTTTTGAATTTTTGTTTTCAGATTTTTAATATTATTGGCATTTTGTGCATCTGCCTATTGCGCGGATCATAATTTATTTAAAAATTGTACAAGAATTCCGTTTTGTGCGTAAGTGAATTTCGGTCTTTCCCAGGAATACGTCACTTTTGAAATTTTTTTATTTTAGCAAATTGAGAAATCAAACTCTTGATGACGATTCCCAATTTGCAGCCGTTTTGACGAATTTTAAAAAAATCGGAGAGGTGGCATATATACCTTTAATTAACGGAAAAAATGAGTCGTTACAGTTGCAAATTTCGTTATTGACAGGGGACCAGGTGAGGCTAGAAATAGCAGAAGTGAACAACTCGAGATACAAACTTGTAGATGCTTTAGATGGAGAACCAGAACTCATATTGTAAGTGGGTACTGTTATCGGAGCTTTTCTTTTCTTCGATCTTTTACTGTCAACATTTTTTTTTATGCTATTTTTTTTTTAGTATCAATAATATGAGGATAACAGGCGATTCTATAATATTATCCAATAGTTTATCCAACGTTCAAGTAAGAGTGCAAAAAGGCCCCCCATTTGTAGTGGTTCTTTCTTTCAGTGGAAACTTACAAATGCTGTTAAAAGGGAATCGGCTGGTCATGGAAAACGTAAGTGAGAGTCATTAAAAGGATTTTGCCTTATGAAAAATCTTAGGTTTATTCCTCATTCTCATCTCTTAAAAGTGTACGAGTAAGGGTTAAGCGGTTCACAACAATTTTAGAGTGACAACAGCCAGGCCTTTACCTTTGAAGTGAATTTTGTGGGTGCTAGTAGATTGTATGGCTTGTATCATCACGCTTACAAACTAGCTTTGGGAAAAACGGCCGATGGCTCTTCAGATCCCTATCGTTTAAGAAATTCTGATACCGCTGGTTACGAAGTTGGTTCACCGATGGCATTGTACGGCTCCATCCCAGCTATTTACGGACACTCGTGAGTTTTTAGAATACATCCGTGGAATTGGAATAATATCCGGTTTTCAGATCTAACAAAACCGTTGGAATATTTTTGAATAATGCTGCCGAGCAGTGGATAGATATTGATTATGAAGGTGATGAGTTGACGAATGGTAGTGCTTATTTTATGGTCGAAAGTGGGACGTTGGATTTGTTTCTGCTGCCGGGCCCAACACCTAGGGATGTCGTCAGGCAATATACTAATTTAACGGGAGTTGCGCATTTGCCACAGGTAAAAAAAATTGATAATTCCTTTTATTTCTGTTAAATTTTTTTTCAAAAATATGTTTCTATTTTTTCAATTCTATTTTGGAATTATTTTGCACTAACAAACAGATATGTAGATTTTAGTAAATCTTTACAAATTTATGGTCTCCTTGGTATACATATTCAAATATCTAAAGTATGCAAGGAGATTTAGAACTTATTTAAAAAAAAAATTTAGATGCATAGGGGACTCTTACAACTACAATTTTGTAAAGAAAAAATCAAAAAGGCAGTTCAAAAATGATTTAAAAATACACTTCTGCACGGCACTGGAAACTGGTCTACTGTAAAACCTGACCCTGCACAGGCATAGCGGCAAAGTGTGATAAAAACGGACAAAAACTTGAAAGAAAATACTATTGTAAACACTGTCGCAACGACGATTGTAAAATCGGATTTCAGTATTCGGAGGCGAATGACGCTAGAGACTACAGTTGTCCAGCTATGTAATGGTTGAAAGTACTACAACTTCAATCATTTTTTTCTCGAAAACTGTAGCGATTTTATAATTTTTTTTTACGATTTAACTCCGTTTCTCATGCTACATCTATTCCCAAATTTTTTTGGATAAGTTGTGAACCACCCTGTATATTTAGCAACTTTTCCCTCAGCAAGTATGGCATTCTACCACTCACGTACACACTTTTTTTATTAGTAGTTGGTGTTTTTGCTATTTGTACAAGTGGTCACTGAGAAAAGTCTATTTACATATTGTAACAATAAGGCAGTCATAGATGTGATTTCTAGTATAATTATACTAGATTCAATACAGTTCTTTAATTTTTAATATATCATTACTCCTTTATTGTGCGAAGCTCAGCTTGTCTATTTTACCTTAATTTTTAATATTTCGCAATGTTACTGGGGTTAAAATTACAGAATGTATTTTCCACGTACTAGTCACTTTTTAAGTCCTGTGTTCAGCTCACAGTGCAATGGCAGTGCATTGACTTTCTTTTTGTTCAATTGCTACTAATATTGCACTTTTAACATCATGTCTTTATATTTATTATGTTTTCCACTCGATTATGCCATGATTGGCAATTTTTCTATTTGTCAACTATGGTAAGGCACATTATCTGTGACAATCACTAGGTTCGTGCAACGGAAAACATATGCAAACCAGTTTTCAAATATGCAACTGTCCACATCCTATCGTAATCCCTATTGGTTGCAACTCAAACACCTTTAAACAATTATCCAGAAATCCACATTCACTTCTGATATGTGTAATTATTATTAATCTAACTTTGTAGAAAGTCCGTCTAAAAATGTTTCTTGTCTGCTATTGATATTTAAATGTTGTTAAACTTTGGAGGCTGTATATCCTTCATTTGTTTTTTGTAAACACTCTTTGCTATGACAATTTTGTTCATCTTTAGGTAATTTTAGCAGTTTGATTTTTTTTTAATTTGGAAGTTCATCTTTAAATTAAAATCCACAAATCTTCCTATGGATCGCATATGTATTGCCACTGTCAGTTTATATTTTTACCTTCTACTTTTTTTACACTTTCATTACTTCTTAGTGCACAATAAACACTTCTGACATCACTCACCGACGATAGATTCAGTCCTCTACCCTGATTATCAGATTAGCTACTAACAACCGCTCATGATTCCATTCTTAACAACAGTTATCAGAATAACTAAAATATAAAAACAATAACAGGTCTCACTTGTATGCTTATGACAAGCAGTGACACATCTCAGCTGGAGGCTGTGATGGCGCAAGATTTCAAAAAGTCAAACCTTGTAGTCTCAGTTTGTTACAATAAAACATTTCAAGTGCATCCGTGTAGCTTAAACATATTACCGGAACATTACGCGAAATGAACAGTTCATTACAATTTTCATACAGAAAATACACAAAATAGTAAAAGTGGTGACACTTTTTTAATTCCTAGCTGTGGACCCTGGGATACCACCAGAGCCGATGGTCGTACTTGACTCAAGACGACGTGAAGGACGTGGTGGCCAACATGGTCGCAAACGATTTTCCCATGGATGCTATTTGGCTCGATATCGACTATACCGACGGAAAAAGGTATTTCACTTGGAACCCTGACAATTTCAGCGACCCTATTGAAATGCAGAAGAACATATCTTCCAGTAGCAAGAAACTCGTAACGATATTGGATCCGCATATAAAAGTTGACGAGGATTATCCCGTGTACGTTGGTGCTAAGGATTATTTTGTAAAGTGGGCGAATGGAACAGATTTTCAAGGTAAATTATAATTGTATTTTGTAATATTTTTTTGAAATGTATTATTTTTAGGCGATTGTTGGCCCGGGTTGTCAAGTTACTTAGATTTTTTAAATCCCGAGGCGAGAGACTACTACGCCAGCTGGTATTCTTACGAGAAATTTCAGGGAACTACAGAAACGTTAGCAGGAATTTGGAACGATATGAACGAACCGTCGGTGTTTGACGATTCTCTAGAAAAGACTTTGCCGTTTGAAACAATTCATTACGGTAACATTCTACACAGAGATGTCCACAATATCTACGGTTTAATGCAAGTAAGAAGTTTATTTTAATGATTCTTGTATCAAGTTAAAAAAATTGAAGAGATTTCCAGACCATGGAAAATGGAGTAGAATTTGTCCAGTTCTCAGTTATGGTGATTGTCAACAAGGTTTTATGGAAAAACATTTGACAATAAGGAACTTTACACAATATATATTTCAAGTCATGAATTTTAAGGCTTTTGAACTCAGGAGTCTATTCTTAGGCCCCTATTTTTTTTGGTATTTATCGATGACCTTGCAAAAACTTTTAAAACTTTAATAATTAATTATTATCAATTATTTTTTCCTGTAAATGGATTTTTTATCAGCAAATTCAACTGTTTTTGCCACTATTATTATTATTAATCAATAAAATTAATTTGTAGTTTTAAATAGTAAAATAATTTGACGTACCTGATGTTACAACAACTGTTCATAATCGACATGTAAACACATTTGGGTCCGTCTTACTCAGTTTCTACGAACTAACACAAATGCTTCACCATGATACAGATATTGTCTTGTTTCACCATAAATTAAAACTATATCCATCAACACGGAGTTGCTATACAGGCAAGCCATTTTTGACACTAACCACTAAAAAGCTATTGTAAACACTATCGCAACGACGATTGTAAAATCGGATTTCAGTATTCGGAGTCCCTGAGGCCACGTGGCTCTCCACGCATATTGCAAATGGCGCTAGAGACTACAGTTGTCCAGCTATGTAATGGTTGAAAGTACTACAAGTTCAATAATTACTTTAATTAATAATTAATAACTTTAATAATTATCAATTATTTTGTCCTGTAAATGGGTTTTTTTCTTTTGGGCAAATATGTTGGTCTAAAAATTAATTAGAAAAATATTCAAAAAAGTTCTTTACTTTGAGAAATTCCTGAAACAACCAACATTTTTTTAGACAAAGGCAACTCATCAAGGCCTTATGCAGAGAGACAACGGTACAAAGCGTCCGTTTATTTTGACACGTTCCCATTTTGCCGGTTCCCAAAGGTACGCCGCCATGTGGACGGGCGATAATACCGCCGGATGGGACTACCTCGCTATATCCTATGCCGAGTGTCTGATATCCAACATTTTGGGAATGGTGTTTTGTGGAGCGGATATAGGCGGGTTTGTGGGAGATCCAGAGCCGGAGCTACTTCAGAGGTGGTACCAGGTAAAAAGTTGTAACGATTACATAAAAACTTGTTTTAATTTTTTTTTATTTTAGGCAGGTGCTTGGTTGCCGTTTTATCGAGGCCACGCTGAGAACACCTCTCCTAGACGTGAACCGTATTTGTACTCTAAAGACGTCCAGGAGGTTATCCGAAACGCCATCAAGCTGCGATATAAGCATATACCCGTCTGGTATACACTTTTCTACGAACACACCCGGTATGGAGATCCCGTTATCAGGCCACTTTTCTATCATTATCCGGAGCTTCTTGAACTCGAAACGCACTTGCTGTTGGGTATGTTACACTTACCACTATTTGTTTTTTTTTATAATTAATTTTCAGGTAGCGATATACTGGTCAGACCTGTGGTCGAAGCTGGTGTGACTTCAGTGACGGTGAATTTCCCCGGTACCGATGAGATATGGTATAGGGTGGATGACGAGTCATGGTCGGTACATAATGGTAACACGGTAGAAAATGTCACTGTTACTATCAAAGATGTAAGATAATTTTTCTGTTTCCAAAATCTGAATTTTTTTTTTTTCAAATCAAACAAATGTATCTTTCAGTCACCAGTGTATTACAAAGGAGGGAGCATAATTGTGAGAAAAGACAGAGAAAAACAATCAACGACAGAAATGCAAGATGATCCTTTTACACTTTACATCAATGTGGACTTGGTGAGTCCCATTTGGTTAATCGGCAAATTTTTTTCTGGTAAAATCGTGTTGTACACAAATGATTATGCACTGAAATCTACTTTTAGCTGATGAGCTAAGAATGCAGGTTTCAGCCGATGTGCATTGAGTTTAATAAATTATATGTATTACTTTTGTAAAAGTAATTGTGTCGATGGAGTTCTGTAAGTATCCTGATATTTAAATACTCTACTGATGCAATTACTTCACATCCTCTTTTATTTTATGTCCGCTTTTACTTCACATTCGCTTTTACTTCATGTTCGCCATCACTTCACGTACGCTTTTACTACACGTTCACTTTTACTTCACATCCACTTTTACTTCACAAATGCTGATTTCATTTAGTCGATTGTAACCATTTGAGATCATGAAGTGTTTGCATATGTAACGTAGTATAACATCTAAAACTTGACAGTTTTTGTTTGGAAATGAGTTCATAAAATTGCGGTTTGTGTCGAGGTTGACCGAAAAAATCACTGTTTATAATTTTTCAGAACAACACTGCCGAGGGTAGAATCTACTTAGACGATTATACTAGTTTCGATTATTTGAATAACAACCTATATCTGTATATGAACATGGTTTATATCCCCGCAACCCGTGGAGTGCATTTTGAGTAAGTAATTCTTGCGGGCATATTTTGAAATGATTAATTTAATCTTATTTAGGGTGATCGACGGAGATGCCGAAGGATTGTCGTCCGTTATTCAACGAATTGTAATTTCTGAACCGACGGAGAACGGTGAGTAAATCGTAAATGTAACCGTATTATGTAGTAATTTCAAGTAATATCGGTTTTAGGTGTCAAGAAAACTGTATATACAAACACTTCCGATGGGACTGCTCTTATCGATATCGATTTTGTGAGGCAAATGAGAACGTGTGAAGGTCGAGATATAATTTTATCTCTGTGAATGAATGATAACCTCTAAATTGTTGAAACAGAATAGTTCTAATGAACAATAGGCATTTCTTTTGAAAGCTTGCAATTGTAATTACAACTTCGTTTTTTTTTTTGTTACAAAGTGAAAAATGTTCTTATAAAGTCTTAATAAAATTTGTTTTATCAAGATTGAGGTGAAGTATTACAGAAAATGTACTGATATTTGGGTAAGTAATTTTACAATTTTCTTATGCATGTAGTTATTGCATGAGGTAATCTGTATTTATGTCGACTACTTTTGTTGAATTAGGAAGCAGGAACAATTATTTTACAATTTGTTTTTATAATTTATTTTCAAAATATTTATGAAAAATTTGTAATAGATTTTATCAAATATTGGCTTTCGATTGTTTTATGCAAAAAAAGGTACAAAACATATCTTTTCAAATTGCAGCACTCTGATAGACATAAAGATTCAACTTTATGATTCGTTAACAATTAAATCCAGAATCCGAACGTATTGTGGATTAAAACTTGTTTTACGTATATCAAATTTTTATTTAATTCATTATTCAAGAAACTAGCCAAGTTATTTGAAAACAAGGATGCCACTTTTCTATTAATCGGTTCAAAAAATTGCAGAATCCAGTCTCGCAGAAATAGTTCTCAAATTTTGTCAAGCTGCTAGACTGCCACAGATTAAAGAAAAATATATATTTTCAAACAGAAACTTTAAGCAATAAACTTGTTAATTTGATCAAAATAAAAAATATTTACTTGAAAATGTAATCTAAAATGTTTCCCTTAAAATAAAATCGTCACTTCTGAACAAAATTTTCATATTAATGTTTATTTTAATTATCACTAAATGAATATGCATACTTACCTGAAGATGTAAATAATATATACATATATTTTGAAATACATTCTGCCAGTTTTGCAACTAATGAAAAAGTGTAATGTTGAAAACAAATTCCTAGATTTAACATTTTGGAGTCATAGCTGATATACCTATGCCAAGATTTTTCACCAAATATACACAGTTCATTTTTATTAAAAATAATTAAAATTTAATTTTAATTGAAAAAAAAACTGCCACAAAAAAATTGGGATCCATTTATCAGTGTTAAAGTAGTTCTAATGAACAGTAGGCATCACTTTTGAAAAACCTTTAGTTATCATCAGAGTTCTGGATACATGATTTCCAACAGAACCTGACTCAAATTACTAATTTAAAGTTGTTCACAAATATGTCAGGACATAATATTAATTTTTAACCTAACCTAACCTTTTTGTACTTGCTACAATTATACTAATGTTAGTTCTATTCTTCAATTCTGAAATTGTTTTTTTTTCATATTCGTGTGCTATGTACGTTTTTATTTTGAATTTTTAAACATACAGGATGAGTCATTAATAATGGTACACAGCTTAATGGTAGATTGTTAACGTCAAAATATAGCGATTTAACCAGACATGCCTTTGTCAATTATTGCTCCATTTCGTTCTACCGGGTGTTAAAGTTGAAAAAATGTTTTCGATTTTTTGCTATATTTTAAGTATGTATGGACCGATTGTTTTGAAAATTTGTAGTTTTACGTTCTTATGACCTGCTAATTTTCTAATTTAATTCCCGCGGAATCTCAAAAACTTAAAACGTCTGTATCTCGAAAGTGGTTGAGTTTATCGATTTCTAACAAGTATGTATACCTTTTTTTATTTAAAATTGAACCTAGTTCAATAATTTCTAGTTAAAAAATTCAAAATTGCAAAATACAAAAAGTTGGATATGTTTTTACATTGATAGGACAGTATAACTAGCGCCCCCTAGACGTGACCCCCAACACTGTTTGCATATTCATATTTGCCACCTCGAAAAACGTAAAACTACAAATTTTCAAGACAATCGGTCCATACATACTTAAAATATAGCAAAAAATTGAAAACACTTTTTCAACTTTAACACCCCGTAGAACGAAAAGGAACAACAATTGACCAAGGCATGTTTGGCTCAATCACTATATTTTGATGTTAACAATCTGCCATTAAGCTGTGTACCATTATTAATGACTCACCCTGTACACATAAATACACTATTATTGGCCATCGGTGACACTGCCAACTTAACATGACAGAGTTCGTTATATTATTTCTTATCGAATTCCACTTATGAAAACACCGTTCTCTTTTAATGTAGTTTTTTGCTAAGGACTTTATCAACTAGCTAAAAGGTTACTTTATACAATAAAACTCCACTGTTTAATGATTGTCTTTATTATTACATAAAATTACACTTTCGCAAAAGAAATATCTTATAAATCATTTTTTAAAGTAAGTACAATATCAGACTTTCGGCTGTCCCTTAACTAAAATTGGACTCGGTTTAAAAAACAATTCACAGTACAGAATATGAGAATACCAAAGCTCTAAAATAATAAGCGGTGCTCCTTATTATGTACATCCGTTAATCGTGAACTTGACGAAGTGAAGCTTTTGTCTCCTAATATCCGTAAAAATTAGATGTGGTAGAGTTGCTTGTCCCGTCAAGTTTTTTCAGTCAACGACACATCCCAACAACTTCCGAAAGAGGAATCTTAATAAAATAGTAGGTACTACGTGATTCTCTTCGTAGATATGTTTATTATTGTTTATAGAAGGTAGAAAAGCTAGTTTTATGTACAGCAAAAAGCACTTTTCGCGAAAACAGAGATCTCACTCGTAAAGGAACTAAAATCTTATGTACAAAATTAAAATTATTTACAAAATATAATTTTACATCAATTCGAGATTGATGGAAACTCTAGGTACATACATAATTAACACTTCTCAGATTGTCTTCATATTTGGTAACAATTTTGTTATGCGGGTCGCGGACCCCATCACAATTTCTACTAAATATTTTCATTTGTGATTATTTGGCAAGAGATGCGTCCAAGCACTTTGACTTAATATCGAATTTTTAATGCTGCCAAAGAGAGAAAAGGATAGTGACTATTTTAGTTGCAAAATTTTCGCGCTATGTTGTGATTATATATATTTTTCATATGCTTCCTTATCTTTATTTTAATTAAATCACATTTACACGAGTGTTACTGATGCAACTTGCCAATGAGTAAGTTGGCAAAAGAATTGATGTTTTCATCATTCACTCAACCCTTTTGTCTGTAAAAATATGAATTTTTTGGATACGTTGCTTGAACTCTGAGTATGTTATCTAAGTCGTAATTGTAACTTTTAAATAGAATGGCTTTTAACTTCTATATAATTTGACAAAATTTAGTTAGGATTACATGTTTGGTTATTTCAAGAAATGTGAACTCTAATTATCTAAAAGAAAAATTGAATTAATGCAATGATCACCAAAAATTACTCAATTAGCAAATACAACACAATTACAACTAAAACAACAACAAAAGAGAAAACTAAAATCCAGAAAAAATAGCGCCTTAAATATTAGGCATAGCTCTGACTGTGTTCAAGCGTCAGCCCGGTTATTTTACTCCCTTGCTCCACCCAGTTTTTTAACCTCCCCCGCAACTCTTCCAAACTTTTCGATTTTGCTTTGTTTATCCTCTTGTATTTCACGTCTTTGGGTTTTGTTACTGATCTATGATTCGACATAACTCTATTGTAAGTCTTAACCTGACTTTTGGGATTTTCTTCATTGCAGTCATCATTGTTATTGGTATTTTTATCACTATTACTATATGGCCAGCTGGGTACTCCGCAGATCTTCTCTTCCAGAGATTTCTCTCTCACTATTAGACTCTCATCGCTAGCTTCAATGTTACAGTTCGATTTTCCTCGGGTCGCGAAATTCTCTCGTTTCTTGTTGGCTTCGCTTTTATTTTCTTGGTCATTATCAGCGTCTTCCTCTACACTGTAGACAGTCTCCAAGATCTCCGGCCGACGCAGAAAACCATTGTTCCTGCGTGTCAAGGTATACTTCAAATTTGGGTCAATTGCATCGGATATGGACCGTACAACGGTCACTCCATCGGAATTCGTTGAACGAAATTTAGGAATGTGATAAATGTTGCTATCTGAATCAATGTCTTCCATCACCACAGCACTGTCCGAGTCATTCAGTGAATCTAAATCTGGTAAATTGCTTTCTAGTTCGGTTAGCTCCGCTTGTGGAACTTCTAGGCCGTTGTCAATGAGTCGGTTGGATAGAGTTTCGATGATCCTTTGCTGTCTGTGGATAATATTCTCTCTAATGTTCAACATGGCCGATATGTCCTTTTGCTTTCTGATCAGTCTTGATTCAAATAACAGTAACTTGGAACTGAGGGCCTTGAGCTGGTCGCATTTTTCTCTTTGCAGGCGAGATATCAGGAGTTCCTGAAAAAAAATTAAAAAATATTTAAAAATACTCTGATCTGTAAGTATTAATAGTAGTAGTAGTAATAGTAGGTAATGGTGGTTGTGGTACTGCTCATCAAGCATAGCATTTAAGTGGATGAAATCGAATAACGGTTTAAAATGGTCAAATAATCAAAAATAAATTTATGAATGTTTATTATTTTATCTTGCTTCTATGTGTTTTCTGCACATTTATATGTGCTGACTTAAATTTCAAATGCTGTATTTAATTTACTCATTTTGTACACTGTTTATATTCTTTAAGTTGTATAATGATGGAGATATTTTATGTTTCTTTTTATAAAATTTCAAAATCATTATCATCCACTACAAAATCTTAAAAAACTATGTTTGACGAGTTGTAATAGTAGCATGTGATATTTTTAGGTGGTAAACTTGAGTAGCTTCGGGTGAAAAGCAAAAATGCGAGTTGAGCCTTCAGTTCAATAAAAATTTTATTGAACTGAAGACAAAAGAAAAAAAGTTGTCTGTACTTTTCATGCGACATATGTTATCCGTAGTATTTTTTGCCCCCTGATCACGAATCCGGTGTCAGAATTGAGCTATCACATCACAGGAACTTCCTAACCTCAAAAAAACAGGTCAAAAATAGCAAAAATTCATGAAAAAGTGCTAAGGAAAATACAATTAATGGTTCTTTTTCTGACCCAAAAAAAACCGGGTCAATTAAGGTCAGATATCACGAATTTTCAAAAAATAACCCATTCGCGCTAAATTTGGTATACAGGGTTTTTCGGGGTCGCTGATCACGGATCCGAGGTCAATTTTGCAAAATTAAAAATGGTGGATCCAAGATGGCCGACCAGAGTTTCAAAAAATAACCCATTCGCGTAAATTTGGTATACGGGGGTTTTTGGGGTCGCTGATCACGGATCCGAGGTCAATTTTGCAAAATTCAAGATGGCGGATCCAAGATGGCCGAAAAAATTTTCAAAAAATAAATAACATTCGTCCCAAATTTGGTATACGGGGGTTTTAGGGGTCGCTGAACACGGATCCGAGGTCAATTTTGCAAAATTCAAGATGGCGGATCCAAGATGGCCGACCAAATTTTCAAAAAATAACACTCGCGTCAAATTTGGTATACGGGGGTTTTTGGGGACGCTGATTACGAATTACAAGGTTAGAATTGCGAAATTCATTTTGTAATATTTCTGTTTACTTACTCTATAACCTGAGTACCCAATCATGTTTTAACCTTAAAGTACGTACGTAGGTAATTGATTAAATTTTTAAAAACGAATTTTGTAAATCTGACCTCGGATTCGTGATCAGTGTCCCCGAAAACCCCCATATACCAAATATGGCGCTAATGTGTTTTTTCTTGAAAATTTGATCGGCCATTTTGGATCCGCCATCTTGAATTTTTGCAAAATTGACCTTGGATTCGTGATCAGCGACCCCGAAAACCCCCGTATACCAAATTTGCCGTGAATCTGTTATTTTTTGAAAATTCGTTATATCTGACCCATTTTTTTAGGTTAAAAAAAAAACATCAATTCTTACAGCGGATTCACGTTCGGCGAGGTCTTAACCATATAAACGAACATTTGAATATAGAAAAAAAAATAGTATTTTTCCTAGCACTTTTTCGTGAATTGTTGCTATTTTTGACCTGTTTTTTGAAGTTAGGAAATTCCTGTGATGTGATGGCTCAATTCTGACACCGGATTCGTGATCAGGAGGCAAAAATACTACGGATAATATGTACAGACAACTTTTTTTTGTGTGGCTGTGTAATGAGACAACTAGTCAAATACAGGACTGAAAATATTAGATGGAGACTCACTGAACAAGGGTGAAATGGATTTTTTTGGGAAGACCTATCATTGTTGTTGTGTCTAATAATAGGCACACTTTGTAACAATTACTAATTTTTATTGTACTGAAATTCAACTTTCAAGTCTGTTTTCTACATGGTTTATAGCTAGCTCTAATCTGTGCAGGTTGCAACGAAAGGATAGTAAGACGTCCAGATGGGCTTTCTTCAAGATTCAATGTATGCGAGAGACGTCAACTTAAAAAGGGCACATAAAAATGTTAATAGTAATTAAGTGTTAATTTATCAATATTATTCAATGTGAATCTTCTTAAACAATAATGGAAACTCTTATGAATTGTGCCAAGTTGATAATTAATAAAATTTTTGAAGAGTGGATGTTTTATTTTTATTCCTTTCATGAGTGCATTATTCTTCAGTGCAAGTTAAAGTTAATGCAAATCAGTCTAAAAATATCGAAAATTTGGGTTAGACAAGCTAAACATTTCAAATGTTTGTTAAAATTTCAGTAAAAAATTAGAAAAAAATAAGTAAAATTTTAACCAAACAGATGGCGTCACTTATATGTCGCCGGCACAAGTTGTCCGTAAAGTTATAGTACTATCTGAGAGGAATTAATACATTCAGTAAATCTCTTGTAAAAGGGGGGATAGGCGTTTATTTTGTTTAAAATAAAAATGGTACATTATTCTTCAGTACAAAATGGCAAATATTGCAAATCAGCTAAAAGTTTCAAATGAACTAAAATTTCGTAATTCATAGTAAATTTGTAATCAAACAGATGGCGCCACTTATATGTCACCGACACAAGTTGTCCGCAAAATCATAAGACTATCCGAGGATTTTTAACATTCAGTAACTTCTTTGCCGTAGTGGGGGTAGGCGTTTTTTTTTAATTTTAAATAAAACAGGATATTAGACACTAAACAGTATAGAACAAACTAATCACAAAAATATAAATCTTATTCACATCTGAAACTAGTGATGTACTCTTAAAAATGTCTACTATTAATCTAGTTAGGTAGTCGAAAGCGCAAAGTTCCGTTAACTTTGTGTAGGTGAGATAACTTGAAAATTGTGGTGGCGCCATCTATTACCAAAATTTTACATACATTATTTATATTATCAGTTGACCGACCCTTTGCATAATTTTGGAACTGTTTCACTAAACAATGAGGTGTGTGTTATAGATAATTTTTAATTTAAGTAGACACATTGCGGGTCTATTGCTCTAAATTCTAAATAATAAGAGACAAATCTTAAAAAAAAGAAAAAGATTTATTCTATTATAAGTGTTTTGCATTTCTACAAAGTAACACAAATACTTTCTTTATTCAAATTTTTCAAATACTTAATTGAAATTTGGATTTTATTCAAAAGCGAACATTAGAACAACTCTGGATATTCTTCATATCTAACATCTAACGCTATTCGGCAATTCTACAAAATGCTTGCATGAAACTTCTGATCTGCAGTCGCCGTGATCGTTTCTTCGTGATAGGTACCTGAAATAATTTTAATTACGTAAGTACCTTTTTTACGATAATTTTAAAGGTTTGTCTATACCCTGCTCTCACTTGATATCAACATATTTCTGTTGGTTTCGCTTTACTTTCTTACAAAGTATTTTTTTCCTACAACTTTTAATGCTACTACATCTACTAATATATTATCTGTTACTTTATTTCTATCCCTGTAGTGTGTAAAATTGTGAACATTGTGGATAATTGTGAAAATTGCGGATAAATGAACACGAAATAAGAGATAAGAAAATGGGGCCTGTTTTAGGTGACAGATAAAGCAAAATATGTTGCATTTTTGTATATTCGTACATTTTAACAGGAATAAGTTCGCGGCTGAGTTGGACCCGCCTACAAATGCGCAGTAGGTAATAGGACTAGAATGCTTCAATGCTTTTATCCGTTTATCTTGAAAACCTTATTTGCTTGCACAAGTGCTGTTCCTCGTCTGCAAACTTATTCTTGTTAATCTGAACGTATTTGAAGGAGAATACTGGAAGGTCGACATTTCACTTACAACAAAATGAGACGCAAGTAGACGTATTTTAATATATATAACCATTAATTTTATAAGCTACGTTATCAAATAAGTAGAGTTCGGGGTTTTCGTCGGTTAGTCGTATGCGTGTACTACGTAAACAAATAAATAAATGGGTAGGTATAAATAAAAATAAATAATTTGCGTACTTTATCAGCGTTTTTATCTCTTGGCGCGTTCAACATTACTAGAATATTAAAACACGTATACACGAAGCAAACGCGAAACCGATAACTGCCGTTATTACCAGTTTCGTAGTTCGTACGATGCGCTGTAGCGAAAGGCCGACGCGACGGCTATGATCATCCGACATTGTCCCGAACTCTACAAATAAGTCAAAATAGAAGCTAGCGCTTGCCCACGAATTTAATAGGCTGTCAGGATCCAGGGCGCATAGCCATCGACGTCCTAACTCTGACATACAGGGTGTCTCATGATTAGCTGCCAATCCTAAACAGGCCAATTCTATGATCAAAACTAAGTAAAAAAGTTCATATGAACATGGGTCCGGAAATGCTTCCTAAGGGCACAGGGACCCATCGAAGAGGGAGGAATGGAAATCATTTTTTTGCAATATCTCTCAATCGCGTTGTGATAAATGAATGAAATTTGGTATACACAGCTAAATTTTGATGGGCAATTTGATGGACTAATCCATTTATTTCCACAAGGTCCATTGGGGTGGGTACGGGGGGGCCCTTGGTACTTTGCGTGTGTAACTTTTTCATCTTTGACTTTTTAACAAATTGGACAGCAAATTCCGTTTTCCCGAACTGTTTTACGTTAAAAAGGTACTCTTGTTTCAAATCGTTATCTTTAACGGTTTCTGAGAAAATCGCTCTTGAATTAATCCCACTTTGGTCAATTTCATAGTA